ATCAGCTGATGTCTCTGAACGCATCATGCTCAGTGAATCAGCTGATGTCTCTGAACGCATCATGCTCAGTGAATCAGATGATGTCCCTGAATGCATCACTCAGAGTGCAGTAACTCACCTGCAGCCGAACGGCCTCACAGCGCTGTACAGAGTGTAGGCGTGCACATACATGGCCACTCTCTCTGACAGGTGCTGAAACCAGAGGAGACACTGTTAGCTTAGCATCAACCAGAGGAGACACTGTTAGCTTAGCATCAGCTGCACCAGAGATCACATGAGTAAGAGCCGCACCTTGAGGGGAATGTCGTGTCCGTAGCTCGATCTGAAGCTGGAAGCTTCCTCTCTTGCCACTTCAGAGAGAGAGCGAGCATCAGCTAGCAGCCCAGCTACCGCCTAGAGAGAGAGGACGAGAGAGTTATTCAAGAGAGGGTATTAAGGAGCTACAGCACGGTCACATGACTTCACCACCGCTAAGCTAAAGGAGGATAATGTTGGGCTATAAAGGAACTACAGCACGGTCACATGACTTCACCACCACTAACATAAAGGAGGCTAATGTTGGGCTATAAAGGAACTACAGCACGGTCACATGACTTCACCACCGCTAAGCTAAAGGAGGATAATGTTGGGCTAGAAAGGAACTACAGCACGGTCACATGACTTCACGTCACCACCGCTAAAATAAACGAGGCTAATGTTGGGCTATAAAGGAACTACAGCACGGTCACATGACTTCACCACCGCTAAGCTAAAGGCGGCTAATGTTGGGCTATAAAGGAACTACAGCACGGTCACATGACTTCACATCACCACCGCTAAGCTAAAGGTGGCTAATGTTGGGCTATAAAGGAACTACAGCACGGTCACATGACTTCACCACCGCTAAGCTAAAGGAGGATAATGTTGGGCTAGAAAGGAACTACAGCACGGTCACATGACTTCACGTCACCACCGCTAAAATAAAGGAGGCTAATGTTGGGCTATAAAGGAACTACAGCACGGTCACATGACTTCACGTCACCACCGCTAAGCTAAAGGAGGCTAATGTTGGGCTATAAAGGAACTACAGCACGGTCACATGACTTCACGTCACCACCGCTAAGCTAAAGGTGGCTAATGTTGGGCTATAAAGGAACTACAGCACGGTCACATGACTTCACGTCACCACCGCTAAGCTAAAGGTGGCTAATGTTTGGCGTGATGTCGTTTAATCATTTCATTTAGACACTTGTTAGCAACCACCATTTTTAAATTCACCATTGGGGTATTTACTGAGGTATTTCATGTCGTAGAACAAAACTTTAAAATCCCTTCAGCTTACCTTACCTTTAAGACCTTAGCCTATATCTCAAGACCTCCAGCCCAGGGGTACAGGAAGTGCTAAATGCTAACTAATTCCCGGGTTTAAAGACTCATTCCTGCACGATTATATTGTAACCTCTTTGATTTATTTCTCACCTGACTGTAACTCCCTGTCTCTGCAGGTGGAGCTTGTCTACTACATATTCGGCCGCCATAAATTCCACGGCGCCATCACGGCTAACCTGGAGCGTTTTGTGCGGCGCTTCAACGAGGTTCAGTACTGGGTGGTGACGGAGCTGTGCCTCTGTGAGGACCTGATGAAGAGAGCCGTGCTGCTCAAGAAGTTCATAAAGATCGCTGCAGTGTAAGTTAGACGTAGTCAGCAATGATTGGAGTTTCATAGTACAAACTGACAAAGATAAAAGTACAATTATTTTTGGTAGCTGATGTTAGATAGTAGCTTCCCTAGCAAGCGAACTGTATAAAACATATAAAATAAACCCTAAAGAATTATTTTTTTCGTTTAATAATCGAGCAAATACATTGATTTTTGCCATCGCCCCATCTTTTTTGTTGCATCCAGATGCGACACGAGGGGAAAGTAGATAAATTGAGACTTTTTTTGGAGACTGTACGGTTACAATTAACTATAATGAAGTTGAAACACAAACCATGAAGAGTTTAAGACAAAGACACAAGTAACACACCTGTCAATCACAGGTAGCCTTACCCTAAAACATGCGCTACTTCATCATCTATTTTACTCTAAATGGGACCATCATTTAATAAATGAACATCATGCAGATTTGAAGAAGACTTTAAACTGCAGATTGAGACCATTAACTTATCAGGACAATGTTTACTGAGGTAACAAATCAAGAGAGAAGTAGTAACATTTTCTCATAGACTTCTCATCGCACTCTGCTGGACATTAGCGAGAATGCAGGTTTGAGGTGCGTCTGCATTAGCTCCACTTTTCAGAACTGGATGCTGCTTCTTTGTCCAAAAACATGCAAAATGATTGACATTACCATTAGCATGCTAACGTTAGCATTTAGCTAACAGCTCCCCTAGCGCTGAGTAAACTCATATAACAGTTTGCACATATTATCTTTAAAATCTGCAGAGAGCAGCTCTTGTCATCTGAATCAAACTGTTTATACTCATGTAAAAAATAATGTGTGTGTCTCTATGTCTCAGATTAAAGGAGCAGAAGAACCTGAATTCATTCTTCGCTGTAATGTTCGGTTTGAGCAACAGTGCAGTACACCGGCTTTACAAAACCTGGGAGGTGAGAAACCACTGACTGTGTAGAGTGATGATGATTATATATAATGTGTCATCATTAACTAACATCTGTTAACGTCTAATCCAGAGAATACCCAGCAAGATAAAAAGGATTTACTGCGCCTATGAGAGGTTGATGGTAAGTCACAACTTTATAAATGTTCTAAAATGATTGGTTCAGTACATTATTGTAATGTGACATAATATCTGGGTTTCTTCTCCTGTCAGGATCCCTCTCGTAACCACCGAGCCTACAGACTGGCTGTGGCTAAACTCAGTCCTCCGTACATCCCCTTCATGCCGCTGCTGCTCAAAGGTGACACAACATGCTTCAAACATGTTCAATAAAATAAACTAAAACCCCTTTTCATTTACAGAAACAATTCTATCCCTGCAAATATAAAAGAGTACTGTCGTGGCATCCTTCCTTGTTTTTCTATCAAGCCACTCGACGCCTTAAACAGACATTTTAAACTCGATTTCTTTCCTTTATATTACTTACAGTTGAAGTGTTGCTTGGCCTCCGATGGTTTAGAGCAGGGGTGTCAAACTCAAATACTCAGTGGGCCAAAATTAACAAATGGGTACTAGTCGAGAGCCGGACTGGTTCAATGTTTATTGCAGAACTTATTGAAATGAACTTATTGCACATATTAAACCTGGAACTAACAAAGCTTAAACTATTGCCTATAAAAACAAAATTAAACATTAAATAATCAGTTGCATTCACTTCTTATGGCTCTATCTCTGTGATGCTAGTTCAAGCCAGATACTTGGCATCTCATCTTGGGTACAAGTTCATCAATGTTTGTGCTCAGGCTCTGAGCTGAGGAGACCCTCAGGATGGAGTGAAGGTGTGCGTGCAATATACCGGCGGGCCAGATCTAATAGTAAATAGAAATTATCCTGCGGGCCGAAATTAAATCCACCAACGGCCTGATTTGGCCCCCGGGCCTTGAGTTTGACACATGTGGTTTAGATGATATTATGCAATGTGTTTGCTCAAAATCAAATAACAAACTTTTACACATGTAACAAAGAAAAAAGCCTTTAAAATAGTCAAAACAAAAAGGCAAAACTCAAATAAAATAACAAACAACAGAGGTATTCTTTCTTGATAAGGCTGATATAACTTAAAGGGCATTGAACGGTTAAAAACTGGCGTCTTTCTGGCAGG